AAAAAAAAAAAAAAGAGAAACATGCAGCAGGGGGGGGGGGGTGAGCCCAGCGGTGGGCTATAAACAGTAAAACAGAAACAGTTTTGTTTGTTTTAACCGAATATGCAGCATGGGAGTTCAACCGAATGAACCCATGTACTGTATGCTCCCCTCTTTCTGCCACCGAGCATCTGAAAGTCAACCTGCTTCCATATAAGGAAACTGGACTCTAAGCAGCTATGCAGAAGCTGTCTGGCCGGTTACTGTTGTACCAACACATCCAATATGACATAAAGACTCTCATACACAGGTCCCGGGCAGTTTTTGGGTGGATCCATCCTTCCTCCGCTAGTCACAAACTCCAGCACCTCCTGGTTACTCTTACTGGGGTATGGCATGTATCCCAGCGAGAAAATCTCCCACAGCAGGACCCCGAAAGACCTGGAGATGGAGAAGAGAGGCGATTATAGAGGGCAGCAATAAGAATATACTCCATACAGAGACTGGAGCATAAAAATACTAAAAAAAAAGCAAAATAAAAGATCCGGACAGTAAATGTATATTGCTTTCATAAATGCATATTTTTATTATTTAAGAGGAACTCCAGGAATTACAATACTAACCTTTGCAGTTGGGCTACACCCACACCTGAAGATGCACTCACCTGGTCCTTGGTCCCACTGGGCTGCTAGACCGGTCTCCGCAGCCTCTTCTCCCCCAGCCTCTGGTGGTCTAAGGACCACTGACATCATCAAGTCTAATGCAGGTCAATTGACTTGCAGTAGACATGAGGACACCAAGAGACATACCCAAGCCAGACCAGAAATGGAGAGAGGTGCTGCAGCTGACTGCTGCAGGACCGAGGAACAGGTTAATGTATATTCTTTATTTGTGCCCCTAGACCAACACGAGCACTGAACCAATGCATTGCTGGGGTAGCCCCGCTACATGTGTAAGTTTTATAAAATTCCAGAGTTCTCCTTTATACCTCCTCTATTTTCTAGAATAATTGTGGTTAAATAACCGAAAAAAAATTGTAAATGATTATTATACAGGATTTATATAGCGCCAACAGTTTGCGCAGCGCTTTACAATATAAGGAAGACATTACAATCACAATATAATTCAAGACAAGATGGTAAGGAGGGCCCTGCCCCTGAGGGCTTACAATCTAAGAGGGAGGGGCCAGTGATACATGAGGAGGTAGCTGTGTGGGGATGAATTGTGTGAGAACGTGATGGTTGAGCGGTTAGGTTGAGGTGGGATAGGCTTCCCTGAAGAGATAAGTCTTAAGGGATCGCCTAAAGGCAGTCAAGGTGGGAGATAGACGGGACAGTTTGGGGTAAAGAGTTCCAGAGGATGGGGGAGACTCTAGAAAAGTCCTGGAGGCGAGTATGGGAGGAGTTGACAAGGGAGCGGGAAAGCAGGAGGTCTTGGGAAGAGTTGGAAGGGAGTTGTGGATGTCTTTGTAAGTGACTATTAATAATTAGAATTGTATCCTTTGGGTGAGTGGAAGCCAGTGGAGGGATTGGCAGAGGGGGGTTGCAGACACTGAGCGGTTGGTTAGGTGGATGAGTCTAGTAGCTGCATTGATGATAGACTGAAGGGGGGGTAGCCTGTGTAGTGGAAGGCCAATGAGGAGGGAGTTGCAATAGTCAAGACGAGATATAACAAGGGAGTGGATGAGTAATTTTTGTAAATTGTAATCACTAGAAATGTAGAGTGCATCAGTGGTAGAAAGGAGCTGTTTTGGTTCATGGCTCTAACCACTCCTGTAAAATGAGGAATAACAACACATTTGTTAAATTATGCTTTATCTATGCAATAAGCCGGGGGATCTGGAGGGCAGAGAGAGATCTGCCATAGCCTCATCTAGTACCCTAAAAAGAGGAATAAACCCCTTGTTATGTGGATTGATGACATGAAAATACCTTCCGTTTTACACAGACAGGTCAGAGGAAGGAATTTTTTGGCCAACTCATCCTAAGCTGTCTAGAAGTCTTAGCTGACTACCATCCCAAGCTCCATGTTATAGATTCTTGTGTTCTAAAACTTACACTGATGAGGGCCAAACAGCCTGAAACTTTAAACTGCATGGCATATTTCACTTTTGGCTAAATTAATAAATGCACCCAATGTAACAAATGCAATTATTCATATTTTGCATTGGATCAATGGATTGTGGGTGCAATACTCAGGCTCCTGCAGACTCAGTACGAAGGCATTTTGAGCTGGAAGAATTTATCAATGGACCACAAGTGTGGGGACTTCACTACACTTGTAATCCGTTCACAACTACAAGATCTTCTGCCGCCCAGGCATACGATATTTGAAGTTTTCATTGCCAGATCCTGAGCCACATCCATGTTCCTAAACATGAAAATAACATGGAACATGGTAGTAAAGGTGGACTAGAGGATAGTCCATACTCAACTGTCCCACTGCTGTCTTGCTTATTAATAGTGTAATCCAGAGAAATACATAGAAACTGCCTCCTGAAGAATCTTCTGAGTCTGACATTTTCTGGATGTTCAGATGCCTGAACCCCCGCTGCTCTCGGTGGTTCCTCCTGCCAACACATGCCTCACTATAGGATGCAGTGTTGATGCAGGGGTGGGCATGAGGAACCACAGTGTGTGGTGAGGGCCCAAGCATCTGACACTTCCAGACATGTGGGATCCAGAAGATTCTTCAAGTGTTGTTTGGTTTGCCAGGCAGTGAGAGAGGTGAGTATTTACTATTGCGGGAGGCACTTTTTTATACTTTTTATTTAAGCAACAAAATCACTTTAAGTAACTTTGATAAATGTGCAATAAACAACTGACCAGTGTTGGTCATAGAAAGACCAGCTGACCACAGGAAGTACACCTGAAGGTAAAAAGGGGAGGTTAACTCGTCACAAGATGACGGGTTAGTAGTGGTCAATTTCAGGATCCGGACAAGTCAGTTGGTTACATGAAAAATTAATTTTATTGAAAAAAGACATGCAAGATAACACATTTGACTAACAATACCACCATAAAAACCTGTTAGGATCATGTCCTGGATATCCTCAGTGTAGTCTGTCCGTTGCTGAGAACCCCAAACCCCAGTTGAGAATATGGCAGAGTTCCCTGGTATCAGGTTCGTGCGTCCACTTGCGGCATAGTGGTTATGTGTCTGGTTGTTGTCGTCTGTCCTACAATCCGAGGCTTCGTCAGGACATGCGTTTCGCCCCTCCTACAATCCGGGGCTTCGTCAGGACATATACCCTCTACACTCAAAATTCAATATTAATTGAGAGAGAGAAGGTTAAAGTCAGGCGTGACATAGAAGATGGTCCAGTAATAGTCTGTCCATGGGAAAACACCCCCCCCCCTCCCCCCTCGGTTTGAACAGACAATTTGATTATATCCCGGTGTCTCCACCACGATATCCCGAGGCGAAGAAGGAGGAAGGGGTTAAGTGTACACACGGCTAAATTCAAGCCAATACTAATCCAAGGAAAACTTAACCCCACAGTGAAACACCCATCAAAGGAATCCCTAAAGAAAAAACAAATTGATAGAGGGAAAGGAACTGAAAACATCTGAGGACATATTTCATTAAATCAGAAAATAGCCATATAGGATCTACCTTATCCACAAGCATCAGTGTTTAAAGCACATTATATAATCTGATTATAAATGTACGAAGCCTAGGTTACCATTTCAAATCTAATTTGACTCTCTTCTTTAATTCACAATATGAAATTACCAGAATGTTTTTCCTTTTGATTGCCCATACCCTGGAATATAGCTTCATCTAGATAGCCCGTGTTCATCGATATACACATGGGCCATTTCACGGAGAGATAAGTGGCAACGTGGGTAACACACCAGCCACTTACCCCTCACGGTGGAATGAATGATAGAGGTGAATGAGGATCGATCCACATTTAATTTATTAGTGTCTGTATTTTTAACAGGTTTTTATGGTGGTATTGTTAGTCAAATGTGTTATCTTGCATGTCTTTTTTCAATAAAATTAATTTTTCATGTAACCAACTGACTTGTCCGGATCCTGAAATTGACCACTACTAACCCGTCATCTTGTGACGAGTTAACCTCCCCTTTTTTCTGCACAAATACGGTCAGGGATCGGACTACACAAGCAGTTGCGCAAACATAAGGAGGGGGATTAGAATTCATCGGATCTCCAGGTAGGAACAAAACCCAATTTGAAGTACACCTGAAGGTACCTGGTGATAAAAGTGCAGCCATGTCCTTTATTAATATTTTACCCGGCCTGTACGGACATACCATGTGTCAGTCTTGGATGTGAATATTCCTTCCATAAAGGCCTCGGGGGGCATCCACTTCACTGGAAGCATGGCACACCCTCCTTTTCTGTAGTAACTGGCTCTGTAAAAGAAGATGTAAACCTTATTGTGATTCATTGAGATATAACCAGTAAAAGCTGTAAAGGTTATACCGGTAGTGGGAAAAAAACTTTTCTTGTTTTTCTTGAAAATAGTGAAGAAAAGCAAGGACCCCTATGTTCCCACATTTCAGGGATTTCGCCTTAAGTTCTTGAGAGGCACACAGAGGATTGCTGGTTAAAAAATGTTATAAAAATGAAAAAGTGGGGAATTGACTAATTCCTCTGATGAACAAAACTGTCCAACCTTAATAATAGGAAAAAGAACAAAAACTCTAAAATCAGTAAACACATCTATGCTATATGGGACCCCTGACCATCACACCCATATGAGCTTGTTGGACATTCCATTCCAAAGTCATGGGCATTAATATGGAGTTGTTCCTCACACTTTACACTATACAGCCTCCACTCTTCTAGGAAGGCTTTGCACGAGATTTTGGAGTGTGTCTGGGAATCTGTGCCCATTCAGCCAAAAGAGCAATTGTGAGGTCAGGGGCTGATGTTGGATGAGAAGACCTTAAATGGACATCAAAGATATTTGCTGAGTGCTGGTGATTCTTGCTTTCTACTGTTTATTGCACGGCGCCATCTGTGATTGTCACTGCGAGCACCAATACAGTTACTTGGGCCGGGAGCGCTGTAAGGAGTGCGGAGGGACTTACTATCTTCTAGGATGAGAAAACCTGGCTCACCATTGACTTTTCAATTCATCCCAAAGGTGTTCAGTAGGGTTGAGGTCAGGGCCGGATTTCCCACAAGGCCAACCGAGGCCCGGCCTCAGGGCAGCAAGGAGTAGAGGGACAGCAGTGGTGTGGAATTCCTATCTCCCGATGGCCGGCATATGCAGTTCCGGGCGCCGGGCGCGGTAGTTGTATTCTACATTTAGCCCTGCTTTGGGCAAGCAGGTCTAAATGTACAGCCGCTTGTTTTGTACAAGTGATCTCGGCTATGTTGCTGAGATCACTTGTATGCAGCCTGCATACAGGACGCCGCATTGAGGAACCTGGCATTAGAGCAGCAGAGAGGGTAAATCTGGCCCTGGTTGAGGTTAGAGCTCTGTGCAGGACACTCAAGTTCCTCCACATCAAACTCATCACACCGTGGATCTGACTTTGTGCGCAGTCAGACAGAATGGACCTTCTGCAGACTTCTTCCACAAGGGTGGAAATGCACAAATGATTAAAATATCTTTTTATGCTGTAGCATTAACAGAACCCTTCACTGGAAACACCTAAAGTCAGTCATTCGGAGGGGGGTCCAAATACTTTTAGCCATACTGTGCATCTGACTTTTATAAATAGCCCCCCAGATATTCTATACAATCGGGTTATTATTTTGAGGCGTCATCAATGGTGAAGTCCACAGTTATGATTTAGAAATAAACACTTTTGTTTCTTTGTGGTTTACTGAAAAAACCCATAAAAGCCCGCAAGGCCCCCTGAATTGTGTGACTGAAGTTCTGTTTATAGAATGTTTCGCACAGCAAGAGTTGTTAATACATTGTTTTGCGAGTAGCAGCTGGCAGGTTTTAGAATATGCGGACAGATCTTGAGAATTCTGCTTTATACAACAAAGGGGGTATTTCTGAAACAGGTTCCTTTATGAACTGTTTATTCGCCAGCTTGGTATCCTGTGTATTCTCTGCTTTCATAAGTCATCAAAGATATTTTCCGCCAGGATATAAAGATGGGGGGGGAAAAGCACAGCTAAAAGTCACTGTAAACAACAACAACCACGTAATGTTGGTACCTGGTGGACTGGATAAAAAATAAATGGATTGGTTAACTAGGCTGTTGCCACATATAAAGGAGATTGGCAGAGATTGCGCAATCAGATTGTAATGTGCATGGCCTGCTTTAGATGACTAAAACTACCCACATGAGGATCTGTCCAAATGATCTTCTATCCAGTTTGTCAGTCAGGCCCTTACATAGTTGTAGGTAGATCTAAAGGTAACTGAACCATCCCAGGGGATATATCCCTCCATCTCTCTCTTTCCCTCTCAACATGTATACATTGATTGTGTACATGTTGTGTACAGTCAGGGCCGGATTTCTCACAAGGCCAACCGAGGCCCGGTCTTGGCGCAGCAGGGAGTAGAGGGGCAGCAGAGGTGTGGAATTCCTATCTCCCGACACCCAGGACATGCAGTTCCAGGCGCCGGGTGGGTAGTTGTTTTCTACATTTAGCCCTGCTTTGGGCAGGCAGGGCTCAATGTACAGCTGACGCTTGTTTTATACAAGTGATCTCGGCGATATCGCCAAGATCACTCGTAAGCAGCCTGCATACAGGAGGGCGCATTGAGGAACCTGGCATCGGGGCAGCAGAGAGAGTAAATCCGGCCCTGTGTACAGTGCTGATATCTTGACTCCCAAGAGCCTGCCCACACACTGGGTCCATTAATAAAGCAGTGATCATGTGATGATGTGATTTTCACCAAACATTTTCTGGTGGTGGTCAATCATTGTCATTTAAGAATCTGGAAGATTCACCGGCTCTAAAGGTTTGCTGAATTGTAAATGTGCTACTTTATAACTATGCCCCACTATGTATAGTGCAAGGACTCTTGGGAGATGTAGTTTTGGGGCTGTGTCTAACGTCAATATTAATCAACCTCCCAACAGCTGCCCCAGTTCTCTGTCACAAAAAGGGCTTTTTTTCACTACAAGGTAAAATAAATAAATGTTGGGCTATAATGAAGTGGGAGGCTCCAGATTTCGTTCCGTTAATGCCTGAACATATCATTTAAGAACTGCAAACAGCAACACTTAAAACAGCCACCCTCCCAGACACAAATGAGTATCACAGCCCCTCCTCACCCTAAACACATTCATGTTCATTTCAAAGGAATAAATAGACGCTATCAATTATTTTTATATCTTCCTGAAGTTCAGTGTTGAAGCTGACTGTTCAGATTCCGCCAAGACTGGTTCTCTTTACAAAGTATTATGTAACCTTAGTTGCATTTTTTTTAAAAATCAGAGGATCATCACACAGACCAGCAGCCTCTCCCAGGCTACGCAGTCTGTCATAATTATTCTGAAAGATTTGTATTGTACTCAAGAAATCAGATGATAGCTTTACGTCTCATAAAGTTCCTATAAAATGTTATCCTTGTATAAAGTTCCTACAATATGATATCCATGTATAAAGTTCCTACAATATGATGTCCTTGTATAATGGTCCTACAATATGATGTCCTTGTATAATGTTCCTACAATATGATGTCCTTGTATAATGTTCCTACAATATGATGTCCTTGTATAATGTTCCTACAATATGATGTCCTGGTATAATGTTCCTATATTACAATATGATGTCCTTGTATAATGTTCCTACAATATGATGTCCTGGTATAATGTTCTTACAATATGATGTCCTGGTATAATGTTCTTACAATATGATATCCATGTATAAAGTTCCTACAATACGATGTGCTTGTATAATGTTCCTACAATATAATGTGCTTGTATAATGTTCCTACAATATAATGTGCTTGTATAATGTTCCTACATTATGATGTCCTCCTATGAGGTTCAAACAATATGATATCCATGTATAACGTTCCTACAATATGATGTGCTTATGTAAAGTTCCTATATTACAATATAATATTGCAATATGATGTAGGAGAATTACCTGTATATGTCACGGGCCATTCCGAAGTCGCCTATCTTAGCGATTCTGCCGGGCCCCTGGCATGTCAGAAGGCAGTTCCTTGCTGCAATGTCCCTGAAATGAAGTGATTGATTGCTTTAATAAGGTCACTTTCGATCAATACCGCACTGTGACACACACCTTATTAGTGGTTTCTTGCCCCAGAACATCAAACGCTTCGACACTGAGATCTATGGACAGCTCACAATGCCTTGAGAATCTCAGTTTATTTATTTTTTACAAGAAATCTTGTACAAGTTTTATCTAAACCCGGACTGGGTGATATTTCATTTGCTAAGCGCTGATTCACATTATTGCGGTGTGCTGTGTGTAAATGTGCTTTGCGTAAGGGAAACCCATTTATGTGAATGGGCTGCCTAACACACCAAAGGAGGTGCAAGTCCTATTATGGCAGCGCTCCAAAAGCATGTTAGGCTTCGCCAAGGTGACTTTGGGTGCCATTCAGATTGTAACATGTGCTTCTGTGAACGTTACCTCAACACAATAGTGTGAATGAGCCCCCTGGCAGCTATTGTAATGGAGCAAGGTTGTTTGATTGCTTGAACGATGATTCCAGCTCATTAGCTGCAGTGTGTTTGGTCAGCAATTTTCTATCTGGCCCCTTCAATTTTTCAATCAAGGATTGTCGAGCTGGGTGGGCCCGAGATGGCCACTCATTGCTTGAATTTCAGCCTATTTAAAGGAATCAGCCACAATTGGAGTTGTGTATGGCCAGCTTAAGATAAGAAAGGTAAGATCTTTGAGGTCCCAGGTCTGCAGAATAACTGCAGTCAATAGGAGGCTCCACCATTGTCCAATTTATTTCAAATTAAGACTCCAACATCTCTCATCTCTCCCCTTGTCACTTGTGACAAAGTTTGAATTTCCACATCACTGACTGGAGCTTAAGGATAGCTTTTTAATAATAAAGGGTGGAGCTTTTCTGAACAAGGGTACTGTTGCTGTATATTGTGACCTGTCATTAACATATTCATGCAGACTTGTAAAGTGACCGAAAGGACCACTTAAAATGTACCTCTTGGTCTTCACTCGTCATACAACCATATTATTTACCTGTGAATGAAGTGGTTTTCCTCCAGGTACTGGCAGCCCTTTGCGATATCACGAGCCACGTTGAGCAGGTCCAGCATATTGAGAGAGGAAGGGTGGTTCTGTAAAGAGATGAACATTTATGGATTCACCATTCCACCCCTTTCCTTTCTTTCTAGATTTGCACTACCAGCCATATGCCTTTCTTCCTAAGCCTGCACTGCCAGCCATGCATTTGGCAACTTTATTGCCAATTTTGGGGTCTTGCTATCTTGCTAACTCTTCATAATACAATTGAATTGGACACAAGAATCTTTCACCCACTGTTTAATCATCTCTTAATTTTGAGCGATCAAACAATTGAAATTGGTGTAATGATACATAGAAAATCCCCTTTGGCTGCCAAGGGGAGCTTTCAATCGATTTACCCTACAAACAATGGCAGCAGGTGCTCTGGACTGATGAGTCAAAATGTGAAACAGTGAAGCATGGTGGACGTTCCTTGCAAGTCTGGGGCTGCATTTTTGCCAGTGGAGTTGGAGATTTGGTCAGGATCACAGGTGTCCTCAATACTGAGAAATACAAGCAGATACTTTTCCATCATTCCATACCATCAGGGAGGTGTGCCATTGTTCCCAAATTTATTCTGCAGCAGGACTACGAAACATACAGTCAATGTCATTAAGAACTATCTTCAACGTAAAGAAGGACAAGGTGTCCTGGAAGTGATGGCTTGGCCCCCACAGAGCCCTGACCTCAGCATCATGGATTCTGTCTGGGATGACATGAAGAGGCAGAAGGATTTGAGGCAGCCGACATCCACAGAAGATCTGTGCTTAGTTCTCCAAGATGTACCTCGAATAGTATTTATATTGTAAACCTATGAAGCCCTTAAAGGGCAAGTCCATCCAAAACTGATATTTCAGCCTCAGGTAAACTCTGGTGAGAAGAATCCCAAACTAAATGTTTTGGGCACCTCAGAAGCAAGAACATCCCTCTGCAGTTATGTTGGAAACCTGTGGATGCCTAATAGGACCAAGCCAGCCGAAACTGATATTTCAGCCTTAGGTAAAGTCTGGTAAGAAGAATCACAAACTGAAAAGTTCTGTAGGTCTGGGGCACCACAGTGGCAAGAACTTCCCTCCCAGACCACATACTAAAGTGAAAAATCCAGCATCCTCTTCAGAAAAGTGGTGGTGGTGAGTGTAGTTGTGAATGCGGGTGCAGAAATCTCACCATTCGAAGAGATAGAACAGCCAAATTCAGTCCATAAGCATATACTTATGACAGAAGCTCAGCTTTGGGTAGACCAGTCCTAACAGGTTAATGTAACATACAGAGTTTTACAAATTCCACTCACTAAACAGAAGAGATTTCGGAAGATGCAGAAACAAAACATAAGAAAGAATAATAAATGGAATCTGATTATGCGAGGGGACACAAATGTGATAAAATGCCGTCATTTGGTTCCCTAGAATTAGAGGCCATTTCCTCCTTCTCATTTCTTGGAGAACCGCTGCTTTAATGGGCCTGAAAGTCTCATAAAATGGAGGCTGTTGTGCTAAGGGCTATTTATGAGAGTAATTGTCTCTGACAATGCCAGTCTGGCAGCCTGACGGAGGATTAGGGAGAAGGCGGTAATGCGGCCGGCGGGGTTCTTTCACACTGCTGGAACAGGGACAGTTCTTCTTCCAGGCCGTACTGCGGCAGACAGCTGCCAATTCCTGGAAATAAACATCTGCTTAAAGGTTCTTAGGTGTCAAAGCCCCAAGGGGAGCTGGAAATTATACGGTGACATGTTCGGATAAAGTCTCTGCATCCACACACTCCATAAAGCCACACAGACTGAGAAACACCGTGGCTATTATTCAGTCAGGTATCCATCTTTAGGTGCCTTTAATCTGTCGGCTCGCTCAGGATCTTCTGAAACTTTTACTGCTCTGCTTGTCTTATTTTCCTGTCTTCCCGTCTAGTCGTGTCTTTATGTCAAGGGCAGCGTGCCGGCTTACTGTTTAAAATGATGGCCTTAGGACGCTGGGGTTCCGGCTTCTCTCTGCATGAAATCTGTCGGTTCTCTCCACGTTTGTTTGGGTCTACTCTAAATGGTCCAGAATCCAAAGGCACACTGTTAGGTCAAGGCCAAAAATTAATCTAGTGGCTGACTTCTTTCTGAAAATACTCATTACCTGACTGTTATTTTGCTCCTCTGACTTTAAAAATGCAGAGAAGTATCCTTACTCTCTGAGTGGAAGCAGTGGTCTCTCTGCAAAAGGTCACACACGCCCTTGCTGCGTCACACCTATTGCTCTTCATGCAGCAAAACTAATGCCTCCTGTTGAGCTGTAGCCTATACATACAAATAATGTATTCATTCTATGAATAACTTTTTTTTGTTTTGAATAGAGTAGGAAAGGTTTAAAGCCCGTCAGTTTATGATGCAACCGGAAATGCAACAGGAAATGAGAAGAAATCTCCCATGGTGAGGGGAAGTCACATCTTTGACAGCTGTGCCCAGAATATGTGTCCCGATTGGAAGGTTTGCCCTCACCTCTTGTTCTGTCATCTGTAGAAATGTTGGATTTGCCATCAATGTCTATACCAGAGACATCTGACACCAGAACAGGGCTTAAAGTGACACTAGACTCAGGGGTTAAACCTTAAAAAATACATTCAAGTTCCCCATCTATTAACAAAAATTTATCTTATTTGTGTATCACTCAGCTGTAGATCCTCCAATAATCTCTGAATTGGTGCTGACACTGTCCTTCCTTCTGGAGGGGGGCTACTTTTGTTCCCCATGGTCCCACCACATATAAAGACGGGTACATGGTGCAATATTACCTTTTTGGTTTTGGGTCGGTATTTGGCAGGAAGCCAAGATTCGTGGAATTATACTGTCTGACCAATAATTAAAGGGGAACTATGGAGAGAGTGAAAGGCACTCATCCCCATAGTTACAGCTGTCGTGTGACACTACAGTTGTCACATGCTTGCTCTATAGATCGAGAACTGATCGATTCCATTAGTAAATGTCCTCCTGTTAATGTCAAAAAAGAGTTTGGCCACAGTTCTCTTTTTAAATTACTTTTCTATATATAACGTTGTTTTTACATATCTGTTGGAAGTTGTTCTTGGAGACTGGGATACGTCAGTGATATACATACGCTGGACACATTGAAGCAATTGTCAATAAGTTTATCCGTTCCTCTCACCAGTCTGGGTCGTGTCTGTCGCAGGAAGGACTTCAGATCTCCTCCAGTCATAAGTTCCAGCAGAATGAATCTCGGCAGAGCCTGCAGACTGACGCCGATGCAACGCACAATGTTCTGGTGGTTGAATTTACTGGGAAGAGAGGTGGACATGGTTAGACCAACCAACCAACCAACCAACCATCCAACCAATCCACCAACCAATCAACCAACCATCCAACCAACCAACTATCCACCCAACTAACCAACCATCCAACCAACCAACCAACCATCCAACCAACACACATTATTCTGCTTCATTTTATGACTTTTATTTATCATCATTTTCAAACACAGAGATAGTCATTGAGAGGAAAGATTCTAGAACAGCAAATAAAGTCAATCAAGGACTAAATTATAACAGTCCACAGTAGATATGAGCAAATCTGGGAGTTTTTGTTTTGCCGAAACATCGCAACATCTCAGTCAAATGTCAGCATTTTGGCGAAATGCATTTAATGAATGGCGGAGACTGAAATTAAGTGCTTTGTGGGTTAGTAAGGGTGTAATAGGCTTTAAATGGCTTCTGAGGGTTACGGAGGGTTACGGAAGCTCCTTTCACCAATCCTGGACCTGTTCTTGTGCCAAAAATTGACCTCTTAATCAGGGCTCCCCTTATAATGAGGCAGCGTGAGGCTGTTGCCCTCAGGCAGCATCTCTTTGGGTCATGTGGAGGACTCCGTCTGCCGCCCCCTTTCTGTCCAGGGCTCCCAAGTTGCTAAGAACTGGGCGGGGAGATGTGTTAAGGGCCATACACATCTCCCCAGCCAACTCTTGACAACCTGGCCGATGTCCTGCTCAGCTCCTTGCAACCAGTGACATCAGTGAGCTGGGAAAGATGTGTGCCAGAGCTGAGCAGTGCACCACCAGGACGCCGGTCAGCGTGCTATTAGTGTGCACCCCCCCTTCAGATATTGATTGACACCCCTGCTCTCCAATAATAGAACATAATGATAGCTACTGAGCAACATAACACTAACCCTCACGCTAACTCTCTCATTAACCCTAACCCTTAGCTACCTCTTCGTCTACAGAACCATGGCCCTCTATGTTATAAATAAAAAAGGAGGGAGCTAATTTCTTTAGTTCTGTTCTGTTAATATCAGGATCACTCTATCAAAACAAAAGATAAAAAAGTCTGGAAAAAAGAAAACAAATGCAGCCACCGCATCTATGGACTATAAAGCTGCAGTATGTTACATATTTGATTTTGGGTTTAGATACCCTTCAATAAATGCTGAACTGCACTGATTTGTGTCTTCTATATCTGCCATGTATTTAGATGATAGTTACTTATCTCCAGCTTTAAAGGTGAACTCCAGGAAAAGCCAATGTCATCTACATACAAGAGTCATGTGTATCCTTCCGTGAATCTTAGTGAGCTTTGTGTATTTCTTTCAGATCTGTGCAGTAATCCCGTGTGACACTTGGAGCTTCCTGTAATAAAGACCGGTCACTGCTGCTCTCTCTCCTTCTGCAGGGTCACTGGTCTCGTCACCGCCCACTCCTGTAATAAAGACCAGTCACTGCTGCTCTCTCTGCTTGTGCAGGGTGACTGGTCTTGCCTCCGCCCCCTCCTGTAATAAAGACCGGTCACTGCTGCTCTCTCTCTGCTTGTGTAGGGTGACTGGTCTTGTCACCGCCCACTCCTGTAATAAAGACCGGTCACTGCTGCTCTCTCTGCTTGTGCACCCTGCACCAGTCACCCTGACTGGTCTTGTCTTCGCCCCTCCTGTAGTTTTCTACAAGTAGTTTGTAGTGGGTGGTGCCTGGTGGGTTCCTCCCACATCTCAGGCTCTGTACAGCACAGTGATGATGCCACTTTTAACAAGGCAATTTCTGGGTCTGCAAAGGCGTTGTGGATTTATATCCTTTGTTGCTATTTTGGAATATATTGACAATCATCTTTTTGTGCCCGGAGTTCAGCTTTAATCTCTTGTTAGCGTAACACAATATTGCACAGCGGAATCCTGCAGCGGGGACAGGCAAAGCGGAGAATTCCTGTGTGACTTTATATCACAGTTTACAAAGTGCTAATGTAGCGATCAGATCACTATAACACTTTTATTGGTTTTGGCTGAATATCTTCCATAGAATTTGTCATGATGGATGTACAGAGGTATCGAGCAATGGATGATGGAGCTGCCATAAGGGAGTGGAAGAGACTCGCTAAAAGGAAGGTGAATAGGAAAGACTAAAAGAGAAAGAGATTCGGAGGGTATTGGTGGCAGCAGTAGTCTCAGGATAGAGCAGGGGTGGGCAACTTCAGCTGTTGTGGAACTACAAGTCCCACGGGGCATTGCAAGACCGATAGTTACAAAGACAAGACAAGGGCATGCTGGGATTAAAGCACAGCTGGAGGGCTGGAGTTATCCACCCCTGACATAGAGGATAATCAGCACGGAGCACGTGGCAGGTCCAGGATTGCAATCCTAATGTCTGCGGCCGCTGTAGTTTAGTCATATTCCTAAGCCGGATTTGGGCCCCGTTTATACTTCGTGATGCGTGAACGGGCATTTGTGTGCATTTTTGCTGCCGATGCTGCACGTAAGCCTATTCGATCAATGGGCTGCCGCACGTGCTACCAATGCAGCGAAGCCGCTCATGTAGCATTTTCAGCTGCGACCGTCCCACGTTTACGCATTTACGCATTGGAAAGTGTAAATTGGGCCTGAACCAGACACACTGGTAGACTAGGATTGCCACCTTTTCTTCCAGCGAAACCCGAACACTCCAGCAACACACGTACATTTTTTTGGGAGTATGAGTTGCGGCTTGTTCATATGTAAATATCATAATCAAGAGTATTTTTAGTGGGAGCCAGTAGCCTTAATTTTGGTTGCCCCTGTCCGCCTGACCTCTTTTTGATTCAAATCCCGGAATGTCTGGGTGAATCCTGGGCAGGTGGCAACCCTATGATATCTTGGTATGAACCCTATGGTAGACCCACTTTGGGAAGAAGAACAGCAGCATCACCCTCTCCTTTGTCCTAAGGGGAACACCAACAATCCAGAAACTACATTTTAGACATCTGCACCTGGACGCAGACTGTTTGAGACTCAGCGATCTGACCCAACGAGCAAGTGTTCATGGTGCCTAAGGGTAATACATGTGTACACCCCAACATATAGAAAGAGGACTGTGCATGCATGGTGGCATCGTGCTACAGAATGACCAGGGACCAGCGATGGGCAGTGACCAGTTACAGTCTCACCTGATAATGAGCGCCTCCATCAGGAAATCCAGCTCATCCTGCTCCGAGCACACCTCTGGCAGAGTCTACAAACATACAACAGCATTCACCATGTATTATATATATGTATCAGGCATGAGTTATAAGATTCACACATCATACTAAATGCATTTCTCTTAGCCCGCCGCCACATGCTGTGGTCCCATCCCCCCACCCCTATGTCACTGCTGATAATGGTGCGGAGCCACAGCGTGCGGAGGTGATATCAGGCATCCGGCACTCCTGGAGTTTGACATGGGCTGTAGGGCTGGAATAGAAGGAAGGTATGTATACAACTTCTAGTGCAAAGACTTTTAATCCGGATTTATTGCATACCCGACAGGGTCCCTTTAAGAAATATTTGGGTACTTTTACTAACTGCACTTATATTGAAAGCTGAACTCCAACTTGCACAGTTGTACCGGCTCCTCTCCTGGACTTAAATGGCTTCCTCTGATTTTACTGCACACTGTGAGCTTCTCAATGTGCATTAGGAGTTAGATAGAGCCCGCCTCATTTCCTGCCTGGAGGACATCCAGCATCATCTATGCTTTCCTCCCCAGCCTGACTGCCCCTGGCCCACCCCTTTCATTCATTGGATTACAGTTCTTTCCATCATGGAAGCTCATCATCACATGTGGGCTCTACCTAGGGTAGTCTGAATGCAAATACAACCTGCCAAGGAACACCCACTCCTCCAGAATGATATCTACCCAAGCAAGACATTTTGATATTTGCATAACCCCTCCCAAGATCCAGCCCACTGCTTGCATCAGGGCTGAGGGCTCTGGAGAGTAGCACTGAGGCAGGGTGCTGTCCCACCACCCATGATCTGCCTGAATTGCATAGAGAAGCACAGACATCCATTGGTTCTAAAAAGAGGTATATAATGCAAATGGAAAGCTTTCATTAATAAATGTCATTAGCATGTTTGAGGGGGGGGGGGGGCAGGAAAGGCAAAACATAAGCAGATTAAACTTCCGCTTTAATAAGTGTCGTGAATCCATAACTGGACTTAATGGTGTTATTTCTGTACATCTTCCTGGAGTTCAGCTCTGCGGCTCCTGTGTGACACGGCTCATTGTAGAGTAATCTGTCAGGAGGGAACGGTAGTGCATCGTGGAGACATCGCTGTTACTGTAAAACAGTCTCCTGTCATGGCTGCTGAGTAGGCATCTGCAGAATTCAATAACCTATCGACAGGCGGAGGACTTTAAGAAACGCAAAACTGCTGACAAACGGGATCCGGAGCCCGCACTTAACATTCCGCTCCGCCACATCTTTCTACTCCTAATCACCTGCCAGCTGGACGCAGAGGATCTTCTGGGAAGGCGCTAACTTATTGAACAAAGTTTGGCCTTTCCCTATAATAATAAATATTTAAAGGGACGGTAAATCCAACTCACATGCACAGTATAATTCTGTATATGAAGAAGCAGAGCCAATCCTGTCCTTTCAGGAGCTTTGGACGGAGCTTTGAACACAAGGTAACTGGCTTAAAGTGAACCTGGGCAAGGCAAAGCAACCGGGTCACCTATGGGGGCGTATTTATAAACCATAGAGCTAATGAAGATCAGATATTGACCAGCACACACGCAATGGAAGCAAAGATCCTGTTTCAATTTATTGAATCGTCATCACCAACGCTAACATTTCGGGGGCCACACTGGGTCCCTTCTTCAGGGTGGCATAGTGTCGACTACAGTATGTCACCATGAAGAAGGGACCCTACATGGCCGCGAAGCATTGGCATTTTATGGCAAATGGTGATGACTCAATGAGTTGAAACAGGATCTCTGATTCTATTGTGTGTGGGCTGGTGATTATCTGATCTTCATTGGAATTCCGCACGGCACCACCCATGTCATCACTACGAGCACCACTATCTTGCAAGGTCACAATGCTGTATGGAGTGCAGGTGACTTATGACACTATTGCATTCATAGAGCCATTCGCCCTGCAAAATTGCATTTACATGCGTCCAGAAACCATAGTGGCCACCGTGGTAGGTTTGCTGGCGGGCAGTTGGAGGCCGGTAAAAATGGGGATGAACTGCCTTTTTTTTTGCTACCCTTTGTCACTGATGTTAATGAAGACTTAGCCCCTTTATATTGTCTTATTAGGGGGGGGATCCATGCGCAGATTCCCTGCTGAACGTAACAGATATCACCATTGTGACATCCGTGTCCGTCCAGTTTTTTCCTCCATCAACACTGAAATTACTGGACCCATGTTGGTCTATGTGGAGTCAGATGTAAATGGACATGTGTCCGTTTACACCAGATTACCCCCGATCCAGCACGATCAGGTCTGGCAACATGGAACTCTGATCCGTTCGTCTTTACGGACCTGGCCGGAGTTGTGGAGGACAACCTGAAGTAAACAGACGTATGCAGAGCCGGATTTACTCTCTCTGCTTCCCCAAGGCCAGGTTCCTCAATGCGCCCCCCTACCCGCCAAATTCC